GTTTCTGTTGTGAATGTGACTTTTTAGTATTGATTTCTGCTCAAATGAGTATCTCCTTTCAGATTTTCAACGCTTTTGAGAACCCTGTTGGCAATGCTGTCGTGAGTAGGCAAAGTTAAAAATGAAAACACTTGAAACACCGAGAATATTTTTGTTTTGATAAAATGCAAAATGCAAATTACTGCACAGTCGTAGTCGTTGTCTCCCCAGATGGAAAACACGAAGGAGAAAAATAATACAACCGTAAATGATGTTCAAATAAGGTAGTGCAACTCCCAACAGTATAAGATGATATAAACAGCAGACAATCTGAAGTCTACAAAACGATGCATTTGTACAAAGTCGTTTAAAGTGATTTTAGTTGTGAAGATGTTTTGTGCTGTTTCTTTTGACGGCGTTTTCCAGTGTTTTCCCTCAGGCCTTTTTTCCCTGCTCTGTTCTTTCCAACACTCCACTTCTCACATATTCTCTTCTGTCAAGGACAAAGTGTCTGAAACGCGCTAAAAAATAAGAAATACTTTGTGTCATGTGCGCTCCTGTTTCTCCTCTCTCTCGTCATCTCTCTCTGCCTGTCTCTCTCGTTCCATCTTTCTCTCCATCTCTCTCTCTTTAGTTAACTCTCTGTCTGTATCTCCAACTCTCTCTCTCTCTGTATATCTCTCTCTCTGTTAGTCTCTCTCGCTTCATCTCTTTCTCTCTATCGCTATCGCTTTCGCTCGCTGTCTCTCTCTTGATGTCTGTCTCTCTTGCTCCATCTCTCTCTTCATCTCTCTCCCATCTCTCTCTATCACTATCTCTCTCTCTATGTCTCAGTTCCTCCATCTCTCTTTCCATCTCTCTCCCATCTCTCTCTCTCTTGCTCAATCTCGCTCTCCATCTCTGCCATTTCTCTCTCTCTATCGCTATCTCTCTCTATGTCTCTCTCCATCTCTCTCTCTCTTGATCCATCTCTCTCCACCTCTCTCTGAATCTCTCGATCCATCTCTCTCTCTTGCCCCATCTCTTGCTCTCTCTTTCTATCTCAACTCTCTGTCCACCACTCTCTAAATCTCTCTCGATCTCTCTCTCTCTCTCTCTCTTGCTCCATCTCTCTCTCCATTTCTCTCTCTTGATCAATTTCTCTCTTTCTCTTGCTCCATCTCTCTCTCTCTCTCTCTCTCTCTCTCTCTCATGGCTCTCTGTCCATCTCTCACTCTCTCTCTATCCATCTCTCTCTCCACCTCTCTGAATCTCTCTCGATTCATCTCTCTCTCTCTCTCTCTCGCTCCATATCTCTCTCTCTCCATCTCTCTCTCCACCAATCTATAAATCTCTCTCAATCCATCTCTCTCTCTTTTGCTCCATCTCTCTCAATTGATCCTTCTCTCTCTTGCTCTATCTCTCTCTCCATTTCTCTCTCTTGATCCATCTCTTATTTCTCTTGCAACATCTCTCTGTCTCTCTCTCCATATCTCTCCCATCTCTCTCTAAATCTCTCTCTTGCTCCATCTCTCTCTCCATGTATCTCTCTCTCTGTCTGCCTCGCTCTCGATCTATCTCTCTCTCTTGCTCCATTTCACTCTCCATCTCTCTCTCCATCTCTTTCCGTTCCCTGCACAGATATCAGGTTTGTGAGGGACTGGGCAGCTCTGGGCAGCAGCAGGTACACTGTAAAAACGCAATATCTGACTTTGATTGAAATGACTCGAGTTCAGAATATTTGGATGTGAGCAGTTTGGACGAGGGAAGCAGCACCGATACTGGACTCAGTTTTTATACTGAAAACTGGCCTTGGCTGGGCCTTTAATATGATGTAACAAGACTATTTACAGACAGATTAAGGCCTAAACCGCATCATAATGTTTAGACTTTTATTTGGTATCAGAACTGAAAAAGCATGATTGGTGCATTTCTATTTTTTAACCAGTTTAGATTTATGCAACAGAATATAATACTGATTTTAAGGCATTTTTTTCAGCCCAGAAAGTACAGATTTCTTATCCAATTGACAATAATTGTGTGGAAATAACAACAACAACAAAACAACAACAACAACAACAGTTATGTTGTAACTTTAGGGCTTTGCAACATGACCAAAAAATTATAATTTTTTAAAAATAACATTTTTTAATCAAATGTTTATTCTTGATCTGCAATTTTCAACTTGATTTAATAAATAATAATAATAATAATATATAAGTTATGTTGTAACTATAGGGCTTTGCAACATGACCAATTTTTTTTTTTTTTAATAATTATATTTTTTTTTATCAAATTGTTATTCTTGATCTGATTTGATCTTGATTTGAGCTGCAATTTTCAACTTGATTTCATTTTTTTTTTACATAATAATACTAATACTACTATTACTATTATTACTATTACCATTACTATTACTATTACTCTTACTATTACTACTACTCTTACTCTTACTACTACTATTACTCTTACTATAACTACTACTATTACTACTACTACTACTACTACTACTACTACTACTACTACTACTACTACTACTACTACTAATAATAATAATAATAATAATGATAATGTATAAGTTATGTTAGTATAAGTTAGGGCTTCGCAACATGACCAAAAAAACGGAAAAGAAAAAAAAGATAACATTTTTATTCTTGATCTAATTGCAATTTTCAACTTGATTTCATTTTTATTTAATTTTAAAAATTATTTAATTCTTCTTTTCTTGTAGTACCAATTTTCTGAATATAAACAAGACAGACTTTTAGTATTTGCCATTTAACACAAAAATAGTAAAGTTTCTTCCTCCAAAGTCTGAACTCTGTCTGAGTCTGAGCTCCAAACCACACGCTTTTTACTGACAGAGGACTGGCTGTGGACCTGAATCTCAATCTCTATTAAAATTCACCAAACTGCACAGCCCTGATTGAACAAAATAATCTAGGTCCATCCAGTAAATTCAAGTGATTCCAACTCGGCTACATAAATGTTTTTGGAGTGTAGCGGGTTCAGAAAATATAAAAGACAAAATGGAGGAGTTAACATCAATAGGAGGCTCACACTGGCACAGCTCTATGGACAGCCTGTTGCCCCATCTGTCCTGTACTGACATAACTGGCTGAACTTGGGGACGGTCTTTATGTGTCCGTGGAGCAGAATGAGAGACACTTGTTTAATCGCTCAAATAAAAACTCACATTTTGAAGTCGAGCTGCCAACCACTGATTTAATGGCTTTATTAGGCTGTAAATTTGGCGCTTGATCTGACGCACTCGGAGAAATATTACAGCAATTATCCCCTGCAGATTCACAACATATGGACGCTCTTTATGTCGAGGGGGAGAGAGAGTTTGGGAATGTTAAAAGGCGACCAAAAATTGCAGAAATTAACGTAAATCTACACAACTTTATTTAAAGGTGGACTGTGTAATTTTCTGGTGGGGGGTCTATCACCTGATTATCTCCATGCAGATGTTAATGCTTTGCTATAAATGTTAACTTCTTTACTTATTCATTCAAAAACTGGTCTTCATTGTTCAAAAATACACGCATATTTACTATTACTAGGACTGCCTCTCCACAGATTTCATCCATAACTTGGCCTAGTTGTGTCACTTGCTTGAAAAGTGCAACTGATTTAATGTCACACTGTGAAAAAGTGAAAAGTGATGACATGTCCATGAAGACCAACAGTAGAACATCTACAAAATATCAAAATATCAATATATCGTCTCCTTTAATGTGTTGATACAGTATCAGTATCGTGGGCTGCTATATCGATATATTGTCGAGAGTATTTTTAGGTATATTTTACTAAATTTATTTGTGTAAGAGCTACAGTTGTGTTGACATTTTCACAGTTTTGAGCAAAATGGGTGTTTTTCATATAAACTTAGTGGTTTAATAAAGACTTTTAGTATCAGAGTCATGATTTAGCCTTTGTTTTTCTCTGAACTGTATCAAATTGATGTGAAATATATTGTATCGAATCATACTGAATCGAAAGTGCACTGTATTGAAAAGCATATCGTATTGTGGCCTATGTATTGACGTATGTATCGTATCAGCAACTTCTTAATGATGCCCGGCCCTAATGGAGACAAACAGTAGAACATCTCCATGAAGAGTAACAGCAGACTCTATTCCAAAAATGTGTGCACCTTTAAGCATATGTTTAGTAAATGTCTAGATGGAATCTCATAGATTGTGAGATTAAAAGTTAGAAGTTATTCAGAAAAAACGTTTTTGGCACAAAGTGGATAATCATTACCCTGATTCGTCAGCCGGCTTCACTTCGTTTCACTTCTTAGAAACCGCCTGACCTTGCAGTGTTAGAATTTGTTCGCTTGACTACAGGTGAGTACTTTTATCATTTAACCAATCGCTGCTATTTGGTAGTCATGTATGTAATGTAATGCACCCCTAACGGGGCTGACTGGTATACTAAGCTTTGCCCAAATCCTGTAGGAAGAAGAGCAATATCGTCTTTCCCCTTAATAAAATTCACCAAACATTCTCTTTGTTCTAGCTTTAAATCCTCGATCTCAGGAATCATTGACAACACAGAATGTATGGCTCTTCGCTGATTGGCTGGTGCCCGAACTCGCACTTCTGGGGTTTTTGCAAACAGTCTAGTGTAGTGTAGTGACCTAGTCACTGAAGAGAAATTAAATTGAGCGGAGGCATTAGGTTGCGCCAGCCTGGCTAGATAATCATAGCAGTACTAGTAGACTTGACTTGACTAGATGGGAGCAGTGGTAATTGTCAAAGCAGAATGTTAATGACTGAATAAGCTATGAAGTTGTAGTAGTAACCACAATAGTACAGTTCTAAGTAGTAGCAGAAGTATGTAGGCCAAACTGCGGAAGGATGTGGTCTGTGGTGGTGGGTGTGTGTGTGTAAGTATGTGTGTGAGTATGTGTGAGTGTGTGAGCGTGTGTGTGCATGTGTGTGTGTGTGTGTGCGTTTTGTGTGTGTGTGTGTGCGGGTGTGTGTGTGTGTGTGTGTGCGTGTGTGCGTTTTGTGTGTGTGTGTGTGTCTGACCTGGCGAAGTCCAGGTCTGCCTCTCTGGACATGGTGATGTTGGTGAGGTTTTGCTGCAGCACAAAAATGTTGCGGCACATTTTCTTAATGCCAGATTCACTGATGCGTTTGAAGTACTGCGCCCCATTTATCAGGATACACGAGATCAGATGGCCCAGGCCTGAAAACAGACAAGAACATGTGGTGATTATAGGAGGAGTACTAGTAGTAGTACAAGTAATAATAGTAGCAATAGCAGCAGTAGTAGCAGTAGTAGCTCTAGTAGTAGTAAAAGCAGTACAAGCATATGCCGTCATGGGTGAAAGGCCAAAAACCAGACAAGACCAGTATCAGTAGTAGTAGTAGTAGTAGTAGTAGCAGCAGAAGTAGTAGCAGTAGCAGTTGTAGAAGTAGTAGCAGCATCAGTAGCAGTAGTAGCATCAACAGTAGTAATAGTACTTGTTGTAGTAATAATAGTAGTAGCAGACACCTTCATGGTAGTAGTAGTAGTGGTAGTAGTAGTAGCATCAGCTGTAGTAGAAGTACTTGTTGTAGTAGTAGTAGCAGTGGTAGTAGTAGTGTAGCAGAAGTAGTGGCAGTAGCAGTTGTAGAAGTAGTAGCAGTAGAAGTAGTAGCAGTAGTAGCAGTATCAGTAGTAGTAGCATCAACAGTAGTAGTAGTGCTTGTTGTAGTAATAGTAGTAGCAGCAGACGCCTTCATGGTCGTAGCAGTAGTGGTAGTAGTAGTAGCATCAGCAGAAGTAGAAGTACTTGTTGTAGTAGTAGCAGATGCCTTCATGGGTGGGAACTGGCAGCATTTGTTTGTATTATGCTTTTGTACAGGAAAAAATCTAAAAAGGTTCATTTATTCAGTTTAGAAACATAAAACTACTTTTTATTGGCCAGATGTAGTGGTATAGTGATGGGGCTGTTTTATATACAGGACGTACTGACTGGGCTCCTAATACTTTAAAAAGGTTGTTAAAATAAAAATGCAAAATCACTAAACCAAACTGAAAAAGTAGACTTTGATAGAATAAAACCATTATCAAGGCAATGTACAGTTATTGTTGGTAGCTGGATGATATTAAAGAGTATATATGCATCACGAACTTCGGACTTCCGGTCACAGCGCAATGCATACTGGGAAAGATTTTCTGAAAAAGTGAGCATCAAACCGCCATGTTTGTTTTCTAAGTGGGATGCGTCTATCGACAAAGCCGGTCTTTTCTAGTCTTTTGGGATTTGGACATCGTAATGTGTGTGGCTGCACATAAAAAATGTTCGCTGCAAACTCGGGATGATTTAGGTGGTCAAAGGTTAACTTTTTCGTCTTTCCTGTGGATCAATCCTGCCCATCGCCCTCGCCTTTCACTATATTTTTCAATTCTGTTGGGAAGGGAAACAGTTTGAACAGTTGATCTGATTCCCTTCTGCAGTTATGGAGTTTGCAAACTTCCAAAGCCCATTTCTCGAGCCGTTTTCCGCTGTTAGGATCCAACAACCACACAATTACGATGTCCGAATCCCAAAACTAAAATATGACAATATCAGAACCATAAACAAAAGCGATATGGTTCAAAAGACTTGAAAAGATTGACTTTGTCAATAGACGCATCCCACTGGGAAAACAAACATGGCGGTTTGATGCTCACTTTTTCAGAAAATCCTTCCCAGTATGCACTGCATGATGACCGGAAGTCTGAAATTCGTGATGCATCCATTACACATCTATGGGATATTAATTGCTAACACATTACATATTTAGATCACCATGTTTACCTTTACCTGACAGTTTTGACTGCTCACTTGTGGTCTTCCTTAAAGTGGTCATGTGATGTTGCTGCTGTCTGGTCAGCTGATTTAAACAGGTTTTGTGCTGTTTTCCTACCAGTGGAGGCAGGATTACAGCGCCATCTGCAGTCTGACTTCCTCAGGACAGTATCCCAGGTGTGTGAGAGTAAAAAAGCCCCCTCGTCCCGGTTTATCGTCCTCTTTAATCCAGCGACAACGTTTATTTTCCTCTGTCCCAATGATGTTTGCTCCTTTCAAGTCCATAATGTGGTTCTATCTTTTACAGTGGTCATAGATCGGCGATTGAAGTTGTTCCTTTATGTTTTTTGCTTGTGTTTTGCCTTCGCTGTTTCCTTCTCAAATTCTTGTCCTACGTTTCTTTTTTCGTGTACTGAACGTCCTCCCTGTTTTCCCGATGTATGTTTTTTATTTCAGGACATGCAGGGTATTTCGTATATGACCTTAAATTTATGCTCTGGTACCTGAGTTTTCTGCACGTTTTTACTCTCACACACCTGGGATACTGTCCTGAGGAAGTCGGTCTGCAGATGGCGCTGTCGTCCTGCCTCCACTGGTAGGAAGACAACGCCAAAACCTGTTTAAATCAGCTGATCGGACACGTCACACCAACATCACGTGACCACTCTGAGCAGTCGAAATTACTACTACTACTGCACATCACATCAGGTTTGTGAAGTTGCAGTGATTTTTTTTGTATCCTGCTTTTGTAATTTAAGGAAAATTGCTGTGTGGGAGCATAGGCAACAAAGGTCTGAACATTGAACAGCTAACCATATGGAGAAGAGAGATCACTAGATTACTGAAACATGCATAGATGACATACAACTTCTTCATCCATGTTTTTGCTGAAGGAGTAAAATTATAACATGGTAGAAAGCTCCAAAAAGTTGACTTTACATAACACCCATTTAAGGAAAAGTTTCTTGTACCTACATTGCAGCATTCAAGACAAGATTGACACTTTTCACACGTTTTTATACACTGTAATAATTTCTAGGTACTTTCCATGTTACACACAGTTCAGCCACAATGCCAAAAAACATTAAAGTAAATAAATCTTTAGTTTTACCTTCAAAGATGTACTGGAACTTGTGCTGTTGCAGTGCAGCTCCCATGGCCTCCTCAATGGCTGAGATGTCCTTGTTCAGTTTCACCACTAGGGGGTCGTAGTCCATGCTCTCCACATTTGCCACGATGGCATAATTCCCCTCTTTGGCCAGAGGGATGAGGTAATGGAAGCAATGCACCCTGGGAAGGAGAAAATAAAATACTGTTACCATTTAGTATAACTGGCGATGGCTTATAATGGTGGTTCACAATCTTTTTAGAAGTGAAACCACCAAGAATTCAAGGCCGGGACTTCCAGCTGTAAAATGTAGTTGATGATTCTAATAATTTAAGGGGGGCAGATCAGTTAAAATACGTTTTAGATTAATATCCCATTAATATTCAAAACTCTCTGCTCAGTGGCTCATTCTGGGGGACCATGGCCTACTTAAAAATTAACTAAACTGGGTCTAAACCAGGGCCAAATAAGGTCTACATCAGAACTAAACCAGGATCAAACCAAGTCCAAATCAGGACAAATAATACTCTAGTCTACTATAATGATTTTTGAAGTCGCTTTACAATTCTGTGCATTATTCATTCGCTCCATATTTGATGGTGGCATGTTACTATAATAGCCACAGCTGCCCTGGGACAGACTGACGGAATCAGGGTGGCCAAATTGCGCAATCGCACCCCCCCAAACATGACCAACACTCACACACAGCACATTCGCAAGGTTGGTGAAGTGTCTTGCCTAAGGACACAGTTTACACTAGAGGCACTTGGAATTCCCGATTGGACATTTACAAGCAGCAATGATTATTAAGTATTTGGTCCTTAAAATTCCGATATTACGCAAAATTGACTCTTGTGAGCTTTAAGTTGCAGTGAGCCTCGTCATTTTGGTCTTAAAATGTTCATATTAACTGTTCATTTTAGTTGAAGTGGTGGGTTTTTTCGTTTTTCTTCATACAAATTCACTAAAATCACCGCGATATCAGCAGCGGTGAAACGCCATCGGTACAGTTCCGATTGTCGGGACGAGTCCGGAGTCCGAGTCCAGGTAACTGTAAGTGAAAGGACCGACACAGAACTCAGTGCTCCATGGGGCTAATCGCAGCTAACTCCCAATCGTACTTTGCGGACACCTGCTCCACGGGCTCGGGGTTCTCTCAGGGGCGGTTCTAGATTCCAAGTCCTAGTCCAAGATTAGTTCCGGTTTAGTCTTGGTTCAGTTCTGGCTTAGACCTTGTTTAGTCCTGGTACAGTCCTGGTACAGTCCTTGGTTCAGTCCATGGTTCCGTCCTGGTTCAGTCCTCGGTTCAGTCCTCCTGGTTCAGTCCTCCTGGTCCAGTCCTCCTGGTTCAGTCCTCGGTTCAGTCCTCGGTTCAGTCCTCGGTTCAGAGTCCTGGTTTAGTCCTGGCTCAGTCCTCCTGGTTCAGTCCTTGGTTCAGTTTTCAGTTCAGTCCTGGTTTAGACCTGGTTTAGTCCTGGTTTAGTCCTGGTTCAGTCCCGATTTAGACCTAGTTTAGTCCTGGTACAGTCCCGATTTAGACCTAGTTTAGTCCTGGTTCAGTCCCCGGTTCAGTCCCCGTTTCAGTCCCCGGTTCAGTCCTCGGTTCAGTCCTCCTGGTTCAGTCTTCAGTTCAGTCCACGGTTCAGTCCTCAGTTCAGTCCTGGTTTAGACCTGGTTTAGTCCTGGTTTAGCCCTGGTTTAGTTCTGGTTCAGTCCTTGGCTCAGTCCTGGTTCAGTCCTGGTTCAGTCCTGGTTTAGACCTGGTCTAGTCCTTGTTCAGTCCATATAAGGCGTAAAAATTTGGCATTTCGCAACAGTTATTCTGGTGAGAGTAACTTTAAAGTGCTGTAATAGTCGTGTCATATTTTACTTTTTAAATACAGTAAAATTGTAAAGTAACAAATTACTCTGAAATAACAGTAACAAGTCAGTTTTGAAGTCACTTGCCCAACAGTGTTTGTGCCAAAGAAAAACAGCGTAATACAGATCTTTTAAACCTGCTTTTACTTTTACGGATTAACTTCACTTGTTGATTTGTGGTACTTAAACTTTAACAACTCTCTCCTTTCTTTGGATTTCAACTTTCCTTTTACTTTCGATGCCAAACTGAAGTTAATTTACCACCCCATGAACTCGCCCCCCTCGGATCCTTAATAGCCCTCCATCATCTCTGCTCCCGTTTCCGTCCCCCCACGGACACTCCACAGCGCCCCCCGCAGAGCATTGTGTAGCTTATGCAATTTTGTTTATGATTTGAGTGGAAAAAAAACCTCCCCGTGGCTGATGTCGGGCTATATGTTACACTCCATTGACTCTTCCCATCTAGTGAATTTCCCCCGATAGTGCTAGGAACTAAATGAAGCCGTGAGGAAAAGAGGAAGACGGAACGGAAGGAAGGGAGGAGAGGAAAAGAAGGAGAGAGAGAAAGAGAGAAAGAGCGGGGGAAGGTGAGAGAGAGTGTGTGAGAGTTTGGAGGGGAGTGTGAGGAAAACAGTAAAACAGGTATGAAGACGAGAGAGAGAAGGAAGCGAGAGAGCGCAAGAAAGAGAGAAAGACAGACTGAGAGAGAGGGATAGAGAAAGAGAGAGAGTGAGAAGGGGAGGGAGAGAGAAATGAAAGACAAGGAAACAGAGAGGGAAAGGGAATGAAGGAGAGAGAGAGACAAACAAGAAGGAAGAAGAGAAAACAAAAGGAGAGAGCACAACAAAGAGAGAAAGACAGAGTGAGAGAGAAAGAGAGAGAGAGAGAGTGAGAAGGGGAGGGAGAGAAATGAGAGACAAGGAAACAGAGAGGGAAAGGAAAAGAGAAAGAAGGCGAGAGAAACAAACAAGAAAGAAGGAGAGAGCACAACAAAGAGAGAAAGACAGAGTGAGAGAGAGGGATAGAGAGAGAGAGGGAGCGAAAGAGAGTGAGTGTGAAAAAGAGAGGAGAGAGAGAAGGGGAAAGAGAGAGAAATGAGAGACAAGGAAACAGAGAGGGAAAGGAAAAGAGAAAGAAGAAGGAGAGAGAGAAGGAGAGAGCACAACAAAGAGAGAAAGACAGAGTGAGAGAGAGGGATAGAGAGAGAGAGAAAGAGAGGGAGTGTGAAAAAGAGTGTGTGAGAAGGAGAGAGAGAGAGAGAAAAGAGAGACAAGGAAACAGAGAGGGAAAGGAAAAGAGAAAGAAGGAGATAGAAACAAACAAGAAAGAAAGAGAGAGAGAGAGAAGGAGAGAGCACAACAAAGAGAAAGACAGTGAGAGAGGGATACAGAGAGAAAGAGAGAGAGAGTGGGTGTGAAAAAGAGTGAGTGTGAAAAAGAGTGTGTGAGAAGTGAGAGACAAGGAAACAGAGAGGGAAAGGAAAAGAGAAGGAAGGAGAGAGCACAACAAAGACAGAAAGATAGAATGCAAGAGAGGGACAGAGAGAGAGAGAGAAAGAGAGAGAGAGAGCGAAAGAGAGTAGGCGAGAGAAAAAGAGTGTGTGAGAGTTTGGAGGGGAGTATGAGGAAAAGAGTAAAACAGGTATGAAGATGAGAAAGAAGGAGAGAAAGAGGGAGAGAGCAGAACAATGAGAGAAAGACAGAGTGAGAGAAAGGGATAGATAGAGAGAGAGAGTGAGTGAGAGTGAAAAAGAGTGTGTGAGAAGGGGAAGGAGAGAGAGAAATGAGAAGCATGAAACAGAGAGGGAAAAGAACAGAGAAAGAAGGAGAGAGAAACAAACAAAAAAGAAAGCGAGAGAGAAAGAAGGAGAGAGAGCACAACAAGGAGAAAGACAGTGAGAGAGAGGGATAGAGAGAAAGAGAGAGAGAGCGAAAGAGAGTGAGTGCGAAAAAGAGAGTGTGTGAGAAGGGAAAAGAAAGAGAGAGAAATGAGAGACAAGGAAACAGAAAGGGAAAGGAAAAGAGAAAGGAGAGAAACAAACAAAAAAGAAGGAGACAAAGAAGGAGAGAGCACAACTAAGAGAGAAAGACAGAGTGAAAGAGAGAGGGACAGAGAGAGAGAGTGAAAGAGAATGAGTGAGTTTGAAAGGAGGGGAGGGAGAGAGAGAAATGAGAGACAAGGAAGCAGAGAATGAAAGGTAAAGAGAAAGCAAGAAAGAGAGGAGATATAGAAGAGAGAGTGAGGCATGAGATAAAAGAGAAAGAGAATTAAAGATGGAGATGAGAGGAATGGAAAAAAAGTTTGTGGGCAAAATAAGCAAGGGGTGGAAATGAGAAAGAGAGAGAGAGAAAGAGAAGAAGAGAGAGAAAACATGGAAGACAAGTCAGCGGAAGATACAGAGAGGCAAAGAGAAAAGGAGTGAGAAAGGGGCAGGAGATACAGAAGAGCGTGAGGCCATGCAATAAGAGAGAACAAAAGAGAGGGGGAGAGGGGGAGTGAGTGAAAGAAGAGAGAGAGGGCTGGAGAGAAAAGGGGGAGAGACAGCGAGACAGAATGTGAGATGGAAAGAAGAGCGACAGAGGATAAGGACATTGAGATGAAAAGTAAGAGAGACAGAGAGAGAGAGAGAGAGAGAGGAGGGAGGGAGAGAGAAGATAGAGAGGGGACAGAGACATTAAAAGGAGAGAGAGAGAGACAGAGAAGACAGAATGATGGAAAGGAGAGAGAAAGAAAAAGGGGAAAATAAAGATGGGGGGGTGAAAGCGAGGGAGGAACAGAGTGAGAGAAAGACCAGGGGCTAAGTCGAAGTAGTGGATTTGTTGAGCTAAAGTAGTTAAGACTGGAATGACTGAAATGTAATAGTCCGAGGTGAGATTGAGCCTCACAAAACGGCTCTGTAGAGTTGTGTATCTCTGTATAGTGTTGTGTAGTGTTTTATAGAGTTGTGTAGTGCTGTGTAGTGTTGTATAGCTCTGTATAAGGTTGTATAGTGCTGTGTAGTATTGTGTAGGCCTGGGTTGTGTTGTGTAGTGTTGTGTAGCACTGTATTGTGTTGTGTAGTGCTCCGTCGTGTTGTGTAGTGCTGTGTAGTATTGTATACCACTGTATAGTGTTGTGTAGTACTGTATAGTGCTCTGTAGTGTTGTATATCGCTGTATAGTGTAGTGTTATGTACCGTTGTATAGTGTTGTGTTGTGTACCGTTGTATAGTGTTGTGTAGTGTTGTATAGTGTTGTGTACCGTTGTATAGTGTTGTGTAGTGTTGTGTGTATAGTTTGTTATAGTTGTGTGTGTACCGTTGTATAGTGTTGTGTAGTGCTCTGTAGTGTTGTGTAGTGTTGTATAGTGTTATGTACCGTTGTATGTAGTGTTGTTGTACCGTTGTATAGTGTTAGTGTGTAGTGTTGTATAGTGTTATGTACCGTTGTATAGTGTTGTGTACCGTTGTAGTAGTGTTGTGTAGTGTTGTGTAGTGTTGTGTAGTGCTGTGTAGTGGTGTGTAGTGTTGTGTAGTGTTGTATAGTGTAGTGTAGCGTTGTGTAGTGTTGTGTAGTGTTGTGTGTAGTGTATAGTGTTGTATAGTGTTGTGTAGTGTTGTGTAGTGCTTGTGTTGTGTAGTGTTGTGTAGTGTTGTGTAGTGTAGTGTAGTGTAGTGTAGTGTTGTGTAGTGTTGTGTAGTGTTGTGTAGTGTAGTGCTGTGTTGTGTAGTGTTGTGTAGTGTTGTGTAGTGTTGTGTAGTGTAGTGTAGTGTAGTGTTGTGTAGTGTGTGTTGTGTTGTGTAGTGTAGTGCTGTGTTGTGTAGTGTTGTGTAGTGTAGTGTTGTGTGTAGTGTTGTGTAGTGTTGTAGTGTAGTGTAGTGTAGTGTTGTGTAGTGTTGTGTAGTGTTGTGTAGTAGTGCTGTGTTGTGTAGTGTGTAGTGTAGTGTAGTGTAGTGTAGTGTAGTGTTGTGTAAGTGCTGTGTGTGTGTGTAGTGTTGTTGTGTAGTGTTGTGTAGTGTGTGTAGTGTGTGTGTGTGTAGTGTTGTGTGTAGTGTGTAGTGTAGTGTAGTGTGTGTGTAGTGTTGTGTAGTGTAGTGTAGTGTGTGTAGTGTTGTGTAGTGTAGTGTAGTGTAGTGTAGTGTAGTGTTGTGTGTGGGCAGTCGGAGCGTTTGCCTTCGGGGGAAAAACCCACTCACCCATCTCGTTTTACTCCCTCTCACCTGGACCATGTGATCGTCCAATTATCAGACTATTGACTCCGTATGTCCAGACAGAAATTAACCTTTTATGGAGCGATGGAAAAATGCAGAGGTGCAGCAATAATGGAGTCCGGGGTCAAAGGTCAGATCGTAAAAATTGCTGACATAAAAAAATCTATAGCGTGTACAGTAATGGAGAAACGCATCGGTAGGTGAAATAAATAAGAAATATGACAGTCGTGGGGTTTATTACCTGGAAACCTGGAAATTGTGTGACACTGATATCAAACCACGAAAATAAAAGAATAAAAGCAAAAATCGCATTATGATGTAATAGGATTTGGATTAAAGGTGCATTGTGTAACTTTTCTGGTGCAGGGTTAGTCAAATGTTTTTCATTATGGAGATGTTATTGCTTTGCCTGGAATGTTTCACAGTATGGCACAGAGTCCTACCGGGTCGAATATTTGCTGAAACGGGCGGGTTTTAATGGAATTTTACGGGTGGGTCAGGTGAATCAAATGAAAGATGGACAGGAGAAAAATACTTCACACTTGTCCAGAAAGTCGGTTGCCCTGGAAACAAGTGCCATTTTCCAATCTTGTCCCGGAACCATAGACCAGGCTGAAAGAGACTTTATTACATAAACATATCAGCAGAGATCGGTTCAATGGCTGCGTTCTTGGTTTAGTCCTGGTTTAGTCCTGGTTTAGTCCTGGTTTAGACCTGGTTTAGACCTGGTTTAGACCTGGCTTAGACCTGGCTTAGACCTGGTTAGTCCTGGTTAGTCCTGGTTTAGTCCTGGTTTAGTCCTGGTTTAGACCTGGCTTAGTCCTGTTTTAGTCCTGGTTTAGTCTTGGTTTAGACCTGGTTTAGACCTGGTCCAGTCCTGGTGTAGTCCTGGAGATCAGCTCTGCAGTTTGTGGCGTGTATATATCTATGCTACTGACACTGGTTCACTCCTGGTTCACTCCTGGTTTAGTCCTGGTTTAGTCCTGGTTTAGACCTGGTTTAGACCTGGTTTAGACCTGGCTTAGTCCTGTTTTAGTCCTGGTTTAGTCCTGGTTTAGACCTGGTTTAGACCTGGTCCAGTCCTGGTGTAGTCCTGGAGATCAGCTCTGCAGTTTGTGGCGTGTATATATCTATGCTACTGACACTGGTTCCCTCCTGGTTTAGTCCTGGTTTAGACCTGGTTGAGACCTGGTTCAGTCCTGGTTAAGTCCTGGGTTAGACCTGGTGAAGTCCTGGTTTGGTCCTGGCGATCGGCTCTGTGGTTTGCGGCGTGTATATTTTTATAATCTGCTAATGACACAGCATGAGTTCAGTCCTGGTTTAGTCCCGGTTTAGTCCTGGATTACTGAGTTATCGGACTAATGGGCTGACCCTGATTGATCAGGGGCATGGGCGGGTAACGGGTGGAATGTTAACTGATTTAACTTTGATATCATCAGGGGTTAACAGGCGGGTGTGGTGCTGTACTGCGCGGGTGCGGGCGGGTGCTGGTCTCCAAAAATGGACCCGTGCAGGACTCTGGTATGGAATTAAACCTTTCTATCTTCATGGAGACCAAAGCAGACAAAGTTACAGGTCAGATTTGCAGAGAGGCGACCTGACTCACAGTCAGAATGCCTGTTTTTTTTTTTTTTTTTTTCAGCTATAAAAACACCTGTAATTGAATAAATGTAAGGTATATCTAATTAATGTGAACATTCTACGCAAAGTAATGACATGTCCATGGAAACAAGCAGGTGATGGACCCCCAACCGAAAAGTTACATAGTGCCATGGAAACAAGCTTGGACCCCCAACTGAAAAGTTACATAGTGCACCTTTGTAAGACCATGAAATCCAAACATGTATCATTTAAAGAAGCACAGTGTAACGTTTTTAGTGCAAGGTCTGGCGTTTTTGCATCGTCTGAAATGTTCTGTTGTGTGGCATTAAACGTAATTATCTTGCACTTACTGAATTACAGTTGTGATTGTGTTTAATATTCACACTAGAAAAATAAATCCTGCAATAACGTTAACAGGTAATATGATGGTCCCACTGCTAATTCTGTTACTACTGCTGCCATTTCAGATCATGCTGTTAGGTTACTGTTATTTAATGTGTATAAAATACTCACATTTCAAGTTCAATTTAATATATCTGAATTAATAATTAGATAAAGTCTCTGTGTAATCCCTCAGGTGTAGGTTTTATTGGAAAAGAAGGTAGAATTCTGTGCACTCGTCAAAAAACTTTCAGGAGTAAATATGTTTTGTCAGTCGACCAAGAGGCTTCTTCAGATCTGACAGGGTTCTGGTGAGTCATCGCTTTAAAAATATTTACTTAAAGGGAGGAGCAAACTACACTGAAACTGTCACACCCTAGTTGTTCACAGTAAAAACGACCGTTGAACTTCCCCATGTGTGAACTGTCACCTGAGTCATATTCTCCATGATCTTTCTCGACCCTAATGAATCATCTAGTTTCTATTTACACACTCAAATAAGCCCTGTTATTTTCTTTCTTTTACATACAAATATACATACAAGAAAATACTACATTGAGTATTTTTATCTCTGTGTACCTGACTTCGAGGTGCAGCACCAGGAGGCAGCGGTCGGCGATGTCCTGGAAGCTTCTGGTCAGATCCCTGAGAGTCTGAAGGATCTGCTCCCGACTGCGCTCGCTCTCCCCGGTCACGTGACTGTCCACAGAGGAGCCTCCTTAAAGACAGGAGACAAGAGTGTACTTAAGTATTTTTTATAAGGCAAGTTAAGATAGTCTAGTATAAAAAGTCCAGTCTTACATTGCGTAGATTTTATTGTACCTGCAGGAAAATGTGACATGAAGTTGTGAAAAATGTGAAATGATTAAACCACGAACCATGTGATACTGGGTAGGATGTATATTTTGGATAATGATATAATTGATACGAGACAAAATAGTGATAAAACTGTGGTAACTATAATATTTTGTAAGCATATTTGACTTTTAGTTTTGCCTTCAGTCCTCACATCCTTTATCCTTAATGTGTTACCATTAACAAAAAAAATATCTCTGTCTGCCTTTCCTTGTAAATGCGATTAAAATCCAATACAGTTGGACAAAAGTTTCCCTGAAAACAAATGACAATATATCATAAGCTATATTATATGAGTCAGTCGCAGAGTAACCTCAAAATGGCCGCTCTTGTGATTCATACATGTCAGACATAGAACTATAATAAAGATGGAAGATGAATCCAAGATGGTGCCATATTGTTTTCAGTGGCCTCTGCTCATTGGCGCATGGGCCCAAAAATAATTTTCACTTCCGCATTTACTTCCTCCATACCGATCAGAACGAGAGTTGCTGGAGCGGAGCTTGCGCAGGCTCAGAGTGGGGTTAGGCTAACTCTTATAAAACTTTTAGGTGCTTTGAGGATTTAAAAAAACTGAAAAAGTTAATGTTGTGAAAATAGAAAAGTACCCCTACAAAATTTGACCTTTATGAAAGTTGTCGATGCCCTGTCAGATGAACACAGACAGTTTAAATTCCCAAATAATGCACTGTGCTTCTATGGGAGAATCCTTTCTGGGCCCAAGCTCCCGGGAGCTGCAGTACCTGGAGCGGCCACTAGTCGGTCTCGAGCCGGGACAGAGGTAGCCAGGCTTGCACCACCTCGTGCCTCTGCTCAATTTCATTTCTCTCCAGCAACTAGGTAGGTCAGGAATCAGAATACACTAGACGGTTTGCAAGAACACCAGAAGTTGTAGACCTCACACCGGCCAATCAGTAAAGAGCTGTGAAGCCATGACGTCAAACTCAAGTGTCTGTCTGGGCCTCTTTTGTGGTACAGCACAACAGTAAACAAAACGGTCGAGATGGATGTTGACAAAGCCAAACATTGTGTGTTGGCAATGATTTCCGAGATCGAGGATTTAAAGCCGGAACAAAAAGAATGTTTGGTGAATTTTATCAAGGGGAAAGACGTTATTGCCCGTCTTCCTACAGGATTTGGAGCATTACAAACATCACAACCAAATAATAGCGGTCGGTTAAAGTAAAAAAGTACCTGCCTACCATCGAGCGAACAAATCCTAATACTGTGAGGTCAGACAGTCTCTACATAGTGAAACCTGCTGATGAATCAAGCTAGGATCAAAGGGGAGTACATTATCCAGTTTTTATTATAGATCCATGATGCCAGAGAAGTGCCCAAGGATGAACTATTTGAAGCAGGGAATGAACCTTCACATTAAACGTTCTATATTACACAAAACTGACTCTTGAGAGCGTTAATTCATATTATAAAAACATACCTGGAGTTGTGTTTTGTTTCATTCACACATGTTTGAGTAACTCTTTATTATTAGTCTGTTTACATCTCCAAACCTCAAAATGCTCTGTTCCTCCTTGTGATGTTTAAATAAAGAACACAGCGTAAATATGCAAAAAAGGTTTGTGTGAGTGTAACAAAACACAACCCCAGGTATATTTTTGATGACGAAACAACATATAACATAGATCAGAAAATAGTCTGTACGAGTATGAGCCCCTTTACAAACCGAACTACAGCTCAGTGTTAAAAAAAAAAAAAGCCTATATGACTGTAATAAGATGCTTGATAATACATTTCCATTCTACAAAAAACACCATTCACAGCACAAACATTACAGTTGCAGTGAAAGCGACTGGTGGTGGATCTGAAATGTGTATATTTGGGGTTTGTCTGAGAGGTGCACTGGGGGAGGGCTCGTAACAGCAGCAGCAGCAGGGCTTTGATTACCAGCCAGGGCCCATTCGCTCCATGTTACCGACTCTATAAAAGTGTTTACTGAGCACTTTTGGGCCAATTCAGATTCATTATTTAGCTTGATTTTTTCCTCCAACAACTATTTCTGTGCAGTACCACTTACGCGAGACTTTTCTGCTCCATCGTAAAAAACTGCTTTTCTATCTTTAGCCCAACATAGAAAGCCCAGTTTGCAACGTCCTCCATTTTCTCATGTCCGTATGGCATTTACAGGTGACAGAATCAGGACACGGGCGTGAAAAAACACAGCTAAAACTAGTATGGTAACTAACTACACTGCAAGAAAGACTGCTTAAAATGACAACAAGCTGAAGTAGAAGTTAAAGGTGCACTGTGACTCCACTACGCCACGTTACAGGGCAGATCTGAGGAGAGAAAACTCCGCTTATAGAGTAAGAATGTACTGTTTCAAGGTGTTTTTTGACAATACACCTTTAACTGAATAAACACAAGATATATATGTTTGTACTATATCATGGAACATTCTATGCAAAGCAGTATCTCCATGGCGACAAGCAGGTGGTGTACTAATCTTGAAAAGTCACATACTGAATTGCAATACTAGATTTTAAAACTAAATGTTTAAAAATCTGCTTAAATCGATATTATTATCAAAGTAGGTCATTAGTTGCTTTTGTTTTTTGCTGAAGTCTATAGGGCCTACAATGTCAGTGCACAATTTCCCATAATGCTTATATGTAAAACACATCCAAAACTCATTTACAGGTCAGATCTGTGGAGAGGCAAGTCCGCTCAAAGAACAGAATGCATGTGCAAAAAATAATTTTAACTGAACAAGAATTCAGTGCTATGGGGTGTCAAACTCAAAGTCACAGAGGCCAAAATTAAAAACTGGGACTAAGTCGTGGGCCAAACTAAACATTTATTGAAAAATTTCAATGTTTTCTCTTCTTTTGAGATATGTAATGTTAAACCTTTTCTTATTAAAATAAATGTTTAATAATAGTTTTGCTTAAACACTGAATCCAGAGAAAGTATAATATAAAATAATAACAAAATATTAAATAAATAATGTCTCTATAGTCTATCTGTAGCCAGCGGGCAGCTCTAATACATATTTGATATGATCTCGCGGGTCAAATATAATTATATTGAGGGCCAAATTTGGCCCCCGGGCCTGAGCCTGACATGTCTGTCAAGCAATATTATCTCTATGGAGACAAGCAGGTGACTCCACTAGGCCAAGTTACAAGGCAGGTCTGTGGAAATGCAGCTCAATTCATAGAAATAATCTATGTTACACAATACTTTAATGCTATATTGTGAAACATTCTAGGCAAAGCAGCCTATAACAGGTGGGTGGTGTACCCTCCTCCAGAAAATTCAGATACTACATTTACCATAAGGTAGAAATTAAGGATGGGACAAAAATCATGGAAAAAAATGATCTCATGAGATTTTTTCCCCCGTGTTTTTACATTTGGAATGGCTAAAACTATTCTGTTAAGTATTTGCAGATTAAATTTTTTGAGAAGATTGTAGTTCCAAAAAGCTACAATGCCAAATAAAAAAAAGTTAATCAAAAATCTTGTCTTGTCTCATTCTCGTAGATCCAGTCTCACAGAAATTGGATCTCATCGAAATTGCATCACCCCCAGTAGAAATGCATTGTTTCTGTTTAATTTTTTTGCAGTGTACAGGGCCGACAAAGTCAACGTGGCATTTCCCCTTGAAAATCAGGCTGCTTACATGTAAAACACATCTAAACCTCATTATTGTAACTTTTTCATGGTCTGTAAGTCTTTTTAAAGCCCTATTGTACCAGTCGTCTCTGCACTTGTGCTGAGGCTGCATTGTGCACCACACAATAGAATCCACAGAGCACGATGGTGTTTATAAACTCCAGCCAGCGTGGATCAATGGCCATAAATTAACACTGGGAGGAAAGGGAGAGAAATTGGCCCCGTCAGTCATATGTAAGTCTATTTGTTCAATGAGGCGAAGGTGTGAGTGTGTGTGCGATTGTGTGTTTGCATGTCAGTGTGTGTGTGTGTTTGTGTGTGTGTGTTTATGTGTGTGTCTGTGTGTGTATGGAGAATCAGAGGAGCAGGAGAGAGGCAGGGTCCAGATCGATGTGCTGCAGTCAGAGGCATTTCCCCAGTTACTCTTCATGCCCCTTTGAAGGTCACACGTGCACGCACACACACACACACACACACACAAGTACACACACACACACACACGTTACATTGACTTAAAGAGGGGCTATTACACTTCTATGGGGTAATCATTTCTAACACATAACATATTTAGCTCATCATGTTGTTTTAAAAATGCTCTATCTGCCAAAAACAACCTGGGATCACAACTAGGGGTGTACAAAAATATCAAAATATCGATATATCGTATCGTTTAATGTGACGATACAGCATCGATATCGTGGGGCTGCTGCGTTGATATATCGCCAAGAGTATTTTTTGGTATATTTTACTAAATTATTTTCTTGTTTAGAGGAAAGAACTAATTTATGCAACACTGTATTGAATTGATTTGAAATACATCGTATTCAGTCGAAAGTGGACTGTATCGAGATATGTATTGTATCGTGACCTATGTATCGAGGTATGTATCGTATCGGTAACTTCTTAATGATGCCCAGCCCTAATCATAACGTTACTTAAACATGCATGGATGACATATACAACCTCTACAGCAGGAGTCTCCAACCTGTAGCTCGGGAACTACCAGTAGCTCGCCACCCCCTTCCAAGCAGCTCACCAAAGGATTTCTGAATTATACATATTGTGCTGAATGGTTCAAATTTGATAATCTACCATAATAAATGTATAATTTTGATGCCTAACTTTATGCACTAATAAATGGATAAAGATTTATGTTACAGGTATCGAACTGATCCCCATCTAAGGCCTTCCTATGCTCAATTTCTTGTCACCACTAAAATAAGTA